AATAGTCCACGGAATGGAATGTTTTCAGCTAGTTTCATAATGAAGTGCTCTTGAGATTTTCCCAGGTTTCCTCTCTTACAATTATTCTGAGGTGAACACCATTCTCTCTGCAGAGTAAATTCTTAACAGTGGAATTCCCTGGCCACAAGGTTTATATGTTTTTCTCATTTCTTTTCTCTTTTCTTCCTTTCTTTTTTCTTTTCTTTCCTTTGTCTCCCTCCCTCTATTCCCTCTCTTTTCCTCTTCCTGCCTCTTTCCCTCCCTTTCTTCCCCCCTTTTCTCCCTCCCCCACTTTCCACTTTCTTTTACAAGGTCTTCTATGCAATGGCATGATCCTAGATCACTGCAGCCTCGAACCCCTGGGCCCAAGTGATCCTCTGGCCTCAGCCTCCCAAGTAGCTGGGACTAAGGCCTGCGCCACCATGCCCTTCTATTTTTTTCTTTTTTCTTTTTTTTGTGGAGTTGGGTCTTACTATGTTATCCAGGCTAATTTTCATCTTAGTAGGTGCTTTTCAAGGGTTCTTACCCAAGGGTACCTGGATGGAACTTAGTGAGTCACTTGAAGCCCTTGTCATTTTGTTGAAGTTTTGTGTCTGTCTCCTCCATCCTGGGGAGAAGATTTAAAACCTCTATCCCCTTTTCAAGCAGATAGGTGACTTCTTCCATCCTGGTGGTCTTGCAGAGCGTCTGGACTCCGGCTCTGCCTCTAACGGGATTCCTCTGCGTCGGCTCTGTGTGCCTCAGTTTCCCCAGCTGTAGAATAGGGACTAAACCCGCATCATGGGGAAGAGGCTCCATGTAATACAAGTTCCTGCTCCTGCTGCCTTGAGGTCAGAATGTAGGCTGAGGAAGGGAAGAGCTCCCAGGGCAGGGCTTTGGCTTGGTTGAAGAATCACCTGCCTGGTTGTTCGCCTACCTGGTCAGTGGGATCTAGTAGGGGTGCCAAAAAATGGATTCAACTGGCAGGGAGGGCATTGAGGCTGCTTTCTGCCACCAGCTGCCTGCAGGGCCTCTGGACTCCCTAGAAGGTACGTGAGGCCACCTGCCCCTGCACCCCCTCCACTGACCCAACAACAGAGTGAGCAATGTTCCTCTTGCCACTATACCCCCAGGTGAGCCAAGATCTCCTGATCATTCAGATCTCACAGGCTTGACCCTACTCTACATGTTGAGGAAGTTCCAGGCCCCCCCTCAACTGTAGAAATTTCCTAGACCTGTTGGCTGGGCACAGTGGCTCATGCCTGTAATCCCAGCACTTTGGGCAGATCACTTGAGGTCGGGGGTTCGAGTCCAGCCTGGCCAACATGGTGAAACCCTGACTCTACTAAAAATACAAAAATTAGCCAGGCATGGCAGTGAGTGCATGTAGTTCCAGCTACTCCAGAGGCTGAGACAGGAGAGTCATTTAAACCCAGGAGGCAGAGGTCACAGTGTCAGGATAGTACCACTATACTCCAGCCTGCGACACAGAATGAGATTCTGTCTCAAAAAAACAAAACAATTTCCTACACCTTCCAGCTCCTCTCCTTGGCATCCCCACACACAGGCCCCATGCTGCCCAAGACCCAGGGGGCAAATCAGGCATGACATCAGACATCTGTGTCCTCAAAATAGGGCAGCTTGTTTCTGTCCCGGCCTCATCCCCTACCTCCGCTGTCATGCCGGCCTCTGTCCTCCTCCACCTCGATATGGGATTTCCTAGAACAAGGACAGCCCCTCCCCGAGAGGCACCCCCATGCTGTCCATGGCAAAGCTCCCCCTCTGCAGCCAAAGGAAGCAAGGCTCGGCCAGGCACAGAGACTTGTCCCGTCCTGTGTGTTCCTTCTAGGAACTACTCAGTGGTGGTGACACTGCCACTGCTGCCTGGGGGGATGAGCCCTTGGATGTGGCCCGGGTGACCAGCTACCTGGTGGAGAAGCTGCTGCAGCTGCTCCGAGAGCTGTCCAGGACCAACATGCTGGCCGAGTTCTACCGGCTCAGATGCCGTGTGTTGCAGAGTCCCTGGGAGTGTGAGTCCTGCCCTGGGCTGTGCTGCCCTCCTCCCTGGGACCCCCCTGCCCCATGGGCACAGCAGCAGGGCCATGGAGGGGCAGGTACTGTGGGGACACAGGGAAGCCTGCAAAGGCTCGTGCCATCACGGTACCAGGCCCAGAGCTTACTGGACTTCCCAAGATCCTAGGGACTAGGGCTGAGGCTGCACATCCTGCTTTTGTCCAGAATATGAGGCCTGGCCCAGCAGAGGAGTATAGTGGGCTGTTTAGGGCTTCAGGCCAGCTCCCTCCCTGTGGGCTCTGCTGAAGCAGGAGGCAGACCTCCTATTACAGCTGGAAGGGCACTAAGTGAGTTCAGACTCACCAGTCAGGGGTGACCTGCAGCCAAAGGCGGTGTTGGGGTGACCAGCTCTGGGCTCCTGGGGAGCTTGTGTGTGGCTCAGGTGAGTCTGCTGACATCTGTGGACTTGGATTCCTCCACTATGAAATGCAGGTAACCACGTGGCTCACTCACATGGGTAAGAGGCATGTACAGTTCTTAAAGCATGAGGGCACCCCTCAGGTCCGTGGGGGAGCCACGGTACCCAGGTTTGGCAAGGAGTGGTTTATCTGTGTGGGACTCACATGGAGGCCTAGGGCTCCCTAGAAGCGTGGGTGTAGTCAGGTCTAAGCAGCACGCTGATCTTGTAGAAAACAGCCTGGTCTTCAAGTTGTGTGTGACCATGGGCTTCTCTGTGCCCCTCAGTTCTGACAGCTGACCACAGGGCTGGTAGTGCCTCCCTTGGGATGCTGGCCCTGGCCAACAGGTGTCTGGCTGTGCACCATAGATGGTGCTTCCCTGCCACAGGCACGAGCACCCCCAAGGCACAGCTCAGGGGCCGCACTGGCTGGACTGGTCAGACCTCCTTCACAGGCCATCTCTTCCCTAACCTGAAGAGGGCAGGTCTGCAGGACACCGCTGTCATGTTTGAGGGAGCCGTTGGCCATCCACTTAATGTCTTTTTTCCCCCAGTAGATTCCTTGAGATTAAACGGATGACTTGTATCATCTGTTTTTTTTTTGTTGTTGCTATTTTGTTTGTTTTTTTGAGACTAGGTCTCCGTTGTCATGGTTGGAATGCAGTGGTGCGATCTCGGCTCACTGCACCCTTGACCTCTTGGGTTCAAGTGATCCTCCTGCCTCAGCCCCACAAACCACTGGGACGGCTTAGCGCCACTGTGCCTGGTCGATCTGTGAATTTTATGTGCATGATTCAGTGGCTTCTAGTTTATTCAGAGTTGTGCATGTCTCACCACAATCGATTTTAAAACATTTTTATCATCCTAAAGCGAAACCCTGCAGCTGCCAGTCTGCCTGCTGGGTCCATGGCTATGCCTGCTCTGGACATCTGATGTAAACAGAGGTATGACTGTGGCCTCTGAGCCAGGCTTTGTTACTTAGCACAGCAGTTTTGTAGTGGGTCTCAGGACTTGATTCCTCGTAGCCCTTCAGCTCATGTCATCCTGAAGTGGGGGGGGGGCGGGGATTGCTGGGCCTCTGGCTGCTGCACCAGGGGAGGGGGACTCCTGGCCTCAGGGCAGCCTAAGCTGGGGCTCTAGGCATCGGGGTGCCCAGTAAGCATTGGGCTCCCACTGTGGTGGGTGGAGCTGGCCCCACTCACCTTGTCTTTGGGGCTGCTTCTCCCTAGACCATGCCCTGGTGGCCGGGGCCCAGCATGTGGTGACTTTCGACGGCTGGGTATGGGACCTCAGTACCCAGTGCAGCAGCTTCCTTCTGGCCCAAGGCTTTGCTCACAACACATTCTCCCTGATGCTGAGTCGGACAGGCTCGGGGCTCATGGCCCTGACTGTGGAGCTGAACCACATGAACCTCATCTTCTACCCCAGCCTGCAGGTGAGGAGGAGAGGCCTGAGCTTCCCCTGGAGACCTGTGCCTGTGGCAGGTCACCTGAGGGAACGGCCCTTCCAAGCTTGTCCCCTGTCTGTGGGTCAGCCCTCCTGCCCACCCGCTCTGGCCCACAGGCCTACAGGCAGTACAACTCCTCCATGCCGGGGGAGAGCTGTCCAGACCCCCAGCTGCCTCCTGCCATGACAAGGAGGGACATCCTCAGGATTGAGCTGGCCAGTGAGGAAGGGGGTCTCCATCTCCTGTGACGTGCCCACTGGCCTCTGCAGCCTGACTCTGGGCCTCTGGCACCATGGTGAGTCTGGGCTCCGGCGGGGTTGGCCCCACCACCAACAGCCTCTTCGGGATGCACCTTTCTCAGCTTCCAGTGCGACAGGTCCCCGGGCTGTAGGCAGCGGCTGTGGTTGAAATGATGGCACTGACGCCCAGGGCCTTCTGCTCTCATCCCTGGGATATGTGGCTCCAGGGTGGAGTTGGCCCTTCTGTGGTCCCTCTGCCAAGGAACACAAATGGCAGGCCTGGATTCTGGCCACTTGAGCTGAGGACATGGGGAGGGGTTGGGGGGACACACGCTGTCCTCAGTCCCTGTGCTCTCTCCCTCCTCTGATGAGGGTTTGGTGCTAGAGCCCTGGGCTCCAGGAGGCAGGATTCTACCACTCCTCGGTGTGCATCAGGCTCGCCTCTCATAGAGGCCCCCTGGGGGAGGATGACGGGCTCTCAGGACCTCCTCAGCTTCCCTCCTCCCCACAGGCATATCTGCCGGCCTTCTAGGCACAAATGACAATGAAGCAGGCAATGAGCTGATGTTGCCGGACGGCTCTGTGGCCCGCATCCTGGAGGAGCTCAGCGTGGCCTGACAGGTGAGCAGGTGCACCTGCCCTTCCTCCCTCTGGCTGAGGCTCTTGAGGGCTGCTCGCTGCAGAGTCCCAGGAGAGGCAGGTGGCCTGCTGGCTGTGCAGCAGTCTTTGCAGGCCCAGGGTTGGGGGGAGTCTCCTGCTGAGGCCGATGTATGTGGGGGAGCCACATGGTCCAGCGGGAGGCCTGAGTCTTGTGTCTGTCCCACCAGGTGGATGGTGACTGCGGGGCCACGAAGAAGACTCAGGAGACCTGCCCAGGACAGAGCCCCGCCAGCCGGGTGTTCCTCCAGGACCCCCACTCCAGCTTGGGGAATTGCTTCTGGGTGGTGAGTGTGAGCCTGGCCCGTGGGGCACAGAAAGCCCTTTCCCCAATCTAGCCTAGTTCCCTCCTCCATGCCACTTCCCAGGGTAGGGACAGTGACTAGGTAGCCCTGATTTCAGGTGGACCCTGCACCATTCCTCAGCCTGTGTGTGCAGGACCCCTGTGGCACCTGGGAGCTCCAGCCTGCCTGCACTCTGGTGGCCACCTACATCCACCTGTGTGCTCCCAGTTTTGTGTCCCTGGCCCCTCCTCCACAGTGTGGTAAGCTGCCCTAGCCAGCTGGCACTCTGCCCCCTGTCTGGCATCTGCCTTCCAGCCGGAGGGAAAACCCGTCTCTTTCTCTCTTGCCAGGGAGGACAAATAATTGTCATTCAAGGAGCTAAGAGTCAAAACAAAACATTTACAGCCTGACACAGCTTGGATGTGTGTCCCCTCCAAATCTCACGTTTGTTAGAGGGGGTACATCCCTCATGGATGGCTTAGCACCCTCCATTTGGTGAAGCGTGAGTTCTTGCTCTGTTAGTTCACATGAGAGCAGTTTGTTTATAAAGAGCCTGGCATCTCCTCTCTGTCTTTGCATCCCCTCCTGTTTCTGCTGTGATTGTAAGCTTCCTAAGGCCTCGCCAGAAGCCAAGCAGATGCTGGAGCTATGCTTGTACAGCCTGTAGAACTGTGAGTTGATTATCTGTCTTATTTATGAACTGTCCAGGCTGGAGTGTAGTGGCACAATTTTGCCTCACTGCAACTTCCACCTCCCAGGTTCAAGCAATACTCCTGCCTCAGCCTCGCAAAAATACAGGCAGGTATTTTTGTGGAGATGATGTTTTGCCGTGTTGGTCAGGCTGGTCATGAATTCCTGACCTCTGGTGATCCGCCTGCCTCAGCCTCCCAAAGTGCTGGGATGACAGGCATGAGCCACCGCACCCGGCCTCACTAGGGATTTAAATGTCCACCACCATTTAGGGACAATGCTCAGCCCCTGTTTTCCCTCTGCTCTCATACCACAAAAATCTTCATCACAGAAGATGACTTCTGTGAGCAGATGTGTGGGGGTTTGTTCCCACTACCAGGGTGGACCTCTAATTCAGTTCTAACACTAGCTACCTTGAGATCTTCAGACAGTGCTGCATATGATTGCCACAGCCAAAGCCCCACTAAAAGAGCATAGAAGTCAGTGGCAACAAGAGGAGTGGACTTCCAAGAGCTTCAGATGCCAGAATTAGTGGCTGCCATTCATAGACATTTAAAACTTAACAAATTCAACAGCAGAAGAGAAAATTGATCAATTGGAAAATATGGCAAAGGGCAGATAACATGAGAGGATCCAACATGTCTCAAAAATTCCAGGCTGGGTGTGGTGGCTCATCCCTGTAATCCCAGCACTTGGGAGGCCAAGATGAGTGGATCACCTACAGTCAGGAGTTCAAGACCAACCTGGCCAACATGGTGAAACCCCATCTCTACTAAAAGTACAGAAATTAGCCGGTTTTGGATGTGTGCACCTATAATCCCAGCTACTCGGGAGGCTGAGGCAGGAGAAATGCTGAAACCCAGGAGGTGGAGGTTGCAGTGAGCCGAGATCTCGTCACTGCACTCTAGCCTGATGATAGAGTGAGAGTCTGGCTCAAAAAAAAAAAAAAAAAAAATTCAAGAATGAAAACAGAGACAGGACCCAGGACACTTTAGAGTCAGGAGGCACAATCCCCAATACAATAAATCCATCCATACCTAGACCCATCAAAACAAAATTGCAGAAAAGGCAAAGAAAATGTCCTAAAAGCTACTGAGGAGGGTGGAAAGAAGGAAGAACATGTTGACAATTGCTTTCCCACCAGCAGCAACAGAAGACAGTGGAGTAAGAGAAAGTAAGGATGAGGTTAGAGTTGCTCCCCAGCTCAACTATCACTTAATGAAATAATCTCTCAGCACTGATCTGTCTAGAGATCTCTTGACCACAAGTGGACACTTAACCAAGGGGCACATCCACATGTTCATTTACGTACTGTCTGTGTCTGCCTTCCTGCTGCAGTGGCAGAGTATTTGCAAGGGAGACCACATTTTTGCTCTCTGAAAGACTCAATTAGGAAGAGGGAAAGATACGCTACAGATTGGAAAAAACATTTACAAACCACCTATCAGACCAAGGACTCATCTCCAGAGACTCATCTCTAGAATACATAAAGAACTCAAAGCTCAAAGGTAGGCCAGGTGCAGTGGCTCATGCTTGTATTCCTAGCACTTTGGGAGGCTGAGGCGAGATGGCTTGAACCTGGGAGGTCAAGGCTGCAGTGAGCCATGACTACACTCCTGGCTGCATGACAGAGTGAGACCTTGTCTCACAGAACAAAACCTTCAAAGTAACAAATGGGAAACAAATGCATGAACACTGTTTTCACTCCCAGCCATAGAGAAATAAGGTAGTGCTGCACACCTGAGCTCCGGTGAGTTCCGGCACGGGTTGCTGAGTTCCAGGGACTCCACGGCATAAAGCATTAGTTGAACATCCAAACGGCCAGGTTGTGATTTCGACATCCACTTATGAGTGCACTGTAAAAAGCACTCTTTTAGTACCAAAAAGGCGGTGGCTGCTGAGAATAAAGTGAGGCTTAGAGGCAGGAATCAATGTTATGGTCTACCAACCAGACCTGCTCGGGAAGCAGCCTTGGACTCACGAATGCCAAGACAGGAGGTGGTGTGGCTCCACGGGAAGCTTGGAGAATCTGGGGATCAAGCAGAAGCACTCATTGTTCTGACTGTGTAAATAAAAAACTGTCAGCTACTACGGCCATCAGCAGAACATCTGGGATGACAAGCAACTCAGAAGATTTATAACCACAGGGTAAAAATGGGCTATTATCTGCAGTTAAGGTCCTCTCCCTTCCTCTTAGGGTTTATTTTTTATTTTTATTTTTCTTGAGACAGAGTCTTGCTATGTCACCCAGGCTGGACTGCAGTGGCACAATCATGGCTCACTGCAACCTCTGCCTCCAGGGTTCCAGCAATTCTCCTGCCTCAGCCTCCTGAGTAGCTGGGATTACAGTCATGTGCCACCATGCCCAGCTAATTTTTTTGTGTTTTTAGTGGAGACGGGGTTGCACCATGTTGGCCAGGATGGTCTCAAACGTCAGACCTCATGAGCCGCCTGCCTCAGTCTCCCAAAGTGCTGGGATTATAGGTATGAGCCACCGTGTCCAGCCCAGCTGGGTTTATTTTTTAATCAAGGGCTAAATTCTTCCCCTTTCTTGGACACAGTGAAGTATTTAAGAAAAGCAGTCACCAATTACAGTTAAATTTTGAAGGACAAATTAAAAGGTGGTTATAAGTTTCAACATAAAGGCATCTTATGAACTCTCATAAGAAAAAGAGGAAGAAATTAAGACAATTTTTATTATCTTTTTGGGACATGGTCTTGCTCTGTCCTCCAGACTGGAGTACAGTGGTGCAGCCTCCCAAGTAGTTGGGATTACAGGTGTCTGCCACCACGTTTTTATATTTTTAGTAAAGACAGGGTTTCACCATGTTGGCCAGTCTGGTGGTCTCAAACTCCTGACCTCAAGTGTACTACCTGCCTTGGCCTCCCAAAGTGCTGGGATTACAGACATGAGCCACTGTGCCTGGCCCAATAACTCACTTTCAATAATGGATACAACACCCAGACAAAAGATCAAGAAGGAAACAGAGGGCTTGAACGATACTATAGACAAATTGGACCTACCAGGCATACACAGATGAGTTCAACCAGCAGGAGAATGCACATTCTTCAAAGTACATGTGGAATGTTCTCTGGGAAAGATCATATATTAGGCCTCAAAGCAATATTTAATACCTTTTAAATGACTGAAATCATAATGGTAGAAGGAAAATTGGAATATTCACAAATCTATGGGAATTCAACAACATACTACAAAACTATGGATCAAAGAAAAATAATAAGGAATATTAGAAAGTATTTTGAGTCAAAATGTATCAAATCTTATGAGATGCAGCAAAAGCAGTACTATGAGGGAAATTTTTAGCTGTACATACTTACATTAAAGAAAGCTGGCCAGGGCAGTGGCTCACACCTGTAATCCCAGCAGTTTGGAAGGCTGAGGCAGGCAGATAACCTCATGTCAGGAGTTCAAGACCAGCCCGGCTAACATGACGAAACCCTGTCTCTACTGAAAACATAGAAATTAGCCAGGCATGGTGGCAGGCACCTGTAATCCCAGCTACTTGGGAGGCTGAGGCCAGCAGAATCACTTGAACCTATGAGGAGGAGGTTGCAGTGGGCAGAGATTGCACCACTGCACTCCAGCCTAGGCGACACAGCTAGACTCCATTTCCCCCAACTCCCCCCCCCACACACACACACAGCAGCAGCAGCCAGGCATAGTGACACTGTTATATAATCCCAACTACTTGGAAGCCTGAGGCCAGAAACTGCTTGAGCCCAGGAGTTTGAGACTAACTCAGCAAGTGGCAAGACCCTCTGTCAAATAAAAGAAAAAGGAAAAGCTCTCAAACCAAAATCCTGACTTTGTACCTTAAATTATTAGAAAAAGAACAGCCTAAACTCAAAGCTAGGAGAAGGAAGGAAATAATAAAGGTTAGAACAGAAATAAATGAAATAGAAGATGGAAAAACTAACCTATAACTACCAAGGAGATTGAACCAGTGACCAAAAACTTGACAAGAAAGAAAAGTATATAAGATCAGATGGCTTCATGGGTGACTTGTACCAAACATTTACAAAACCAATACCAATCCTGCTCATCTTCCAAAACCCTGAGGAAAGAATACCTCCAAACTCATTCTGTGAGGCCAACATTACTGATACCAAAGGCAGACAAAGCAGCAGAAGAAAACCCACCACTATCCCTGATCAACACAGATGCAAAAGTTCTCAAGAAAATACTAATAAGGAGAATTCAACAGCATCATCGATGAATTATACAACATGATCAAGTGAGATTTATTTCTGGAATGTAAAGGTGCTTACCATATAAACATCAATGTAAGATATCATATTAGCAGAATGAAGGAAAGAAAACACATGACAATTTGTTTCAATTAGTACAGAAAAAGCATTCAATGAAGTTTAATATCCTTTCATGATTACAAACATACTGACTAGAATTGAAACAACCTCAACATAATAAAGTTGATATGAACAACCTCCAGCTAATATCATTCTCAATGATGAGAGACAAAGTTTTCCAAGATGAGGAAGAAAACAGTGATGCCTGGTTTCACAGTACTGGAAATCCCAGCCAGAGCTATTAAGGAAGAAAGGAAAAAGAAAAGGCATCCAAATTGGAAAGGAAGAAGTAAAATTTTCTCTGTTAACAAATGACATGATCTTCTTTGTAGAAAATCCTGAACACTGTACAAAATAAACTGTTAGAACTAATAATTTGTCCAAGTTTCAGGATTACGAAATCAACATACAAAAGTCAGTTGCATTTCTAACACTAACAGTCAACAATCCAAGAAGGAAATTAAGAAAACAGTTCCTGCTGGGCTTGGTTGTGGAGCCCTTTAGTCTCAGCTACTTGGGAGGCTAAGGCAGGAGAATTGCTTGAGCCTGGGAGGTCAATGCTGTCAGTTTTTATAATGATTATGCCTGTGAATAGCCACTGTACTCCAGCCTGGGCAACATAGTGAGGCACCATCTTAAAAAAAAAAAAGAAAAAGAAAGAAAAAAATCAGTTTACAATAGCATCAAAAAGAATAAAATAGGAATAAACTTAACCAGGAGGCAAAGAGTCTGACAGGATTTAAAGTTCCAGAGACTGGTTGTACAACAAATGTAAAGTCATCTCATATTTATAGATTATAAGGCTTAGTTTCACTAAGATGTCAGTATGACTTTAAGTGATCTACAGGTTTAATTTAATTGCTCTCAAAAATCTCAGTGACATTTTTTCTTCAATTACAGAAAAAAATCCATCCTTATAAATTGTGTAAAGTTTATACACAATTTCAAGGGATCCAAATGGCCAAAGCAATCTTGAAAAATAACAAAGTTGGAAGGCTTTTACTTCCAAATTTCAAAATGTATTATTAAATGCTACAGTGGTCAAAAGTGTGGTATGGCAGTAAAGACATACAGAGAGACCAGTGGAATGGAATACAGTGTGCAGAAGGAAAGCCTTACACACACTGTCAAATGAGTTCAATAAGGATGCCAAGACTTTTCAATCAGGGAAGGGACAGTCTTTCAACAAATGGTGTGGGAAAACTAGATATCCACAGGCAAATGAATGAAGTTAAACCCTTACCTTACATCACGTTAAAAAAAAAAAAAGAAAACCTCAATAATGAATCAAAGACCCAAGTGTAAGATCTAAAACTATACAACTCTTGTTTTTTTGAGATGGAGTCTCACTCTGTCACCCAGGCTGGAGTGCAGTGGTGTGATCTTGGCTCACTGCTGGGATTACAGGCACCCACCACCATGCCTAGCTAATTTTTGTATTTTTAGTAGAGACAGGGCATCTTGGTCAGTCTGGTCTTGAACTCCTGACCTCGTAATTCACCCACTTCGACCCCCCAACATGCTGGGATTATAGGCATGAGCCACCGTTCCCAGCCGCCAACCCTTAAAACATAGAAGGAGAGCTTCCTTTGGCAATGATTTCTTGGATATGATACCAAAGGCCCAAACAACAAAAGTAAAAGTAGATAAATTGGATTGCAACAAAGGATACTATTAACAGAGTGAAAAGGCAACCTACAGAATGACAGGACAGATGTGCAAATTACATGTGAAATAGTTCCCATCTAGAATAGATAAAGCATTCTCACAATGCAACAACAAAAACCCAACTAACAGTTCAAAAACGTGCAAAGGACGTGAATAGACAGTCCTCCAAATAAGAGATGCAAATGGCCAATCAGCACATAAAAAGATACCTATCATCACTATTATTAGGGAAACAAACCAAAACCACGTGGAGATGCTGGGCATGGTGGCTCACATCTGTAATCCCAGCACTCTGAAAGGCCGAGGTGGGCGGATCACTTGAGGTAAGGAGTTTGAGACCAGCCTGGCTGACATGATAACACCACGTCTCTACTAAAAATAGAAAAATTAGCTGGGTGTGGTGGCACATGCCTGAACTCCCATATGCTCAGGAGGCTGAGGTAGGAGAATTGCTTGAACCCAGGAGGTGGAGGTTGTAGTCAGCCAAGATTGCACCGCTGCACTCTAGCCTGGGTGATAGAATGAGACTCCATCTCAAAAAAAGAAAGAAAACCTACATTGAGAGGCCACCTCAGACTCATTAGGATGGCTGTAATCAACACAGAAAATAACAAGTGTTAGCGAGGATGCTGAGAAGTTGGAACCCTTGTGTACTCCTACTGGGAGTTTAAAATGGAGCTGCAGCTATGGAAAACAGTATAGCAATTCATCAAAAAGTTAAAAATAGGCCAGGTGCGGTGGCTCACACTTGTAATCCCAGCACTTTCCGAGGGCTGGGCAGGCCAATCACTTAAGGCCAGGAGTTTGAGACCAGCCTGGCCAACATGGTGAAATGCTGACTCTACTAAAAACACAAAAATTAGCCAGGCGTGGTGGTGCACTTGTAATCCCAGCTACTTTGGAGGCTGAGGGATAGGAATCACTTGAACCCAGGATGCAGAGGTTGCAGTAAGCCAAGATTGCATCACTGCATTCCAGCCCGGGTGACAGAGCAAGACTGTCTCAAAACAAAGAATTACCATATAAACCAGCATTTCCACTTCTGGGTATGTACCCTCTACAATTCAAACGGCCTCACACATTTACACACTGACATTCATAGCAGCATTGTTGAGAGCAAATTCTGACATGTGTGAGAAATCATATTGTATGCCGAGAAATCCTATTGAGAGCGGCTACAAGGGAAACCTAGTCGCCCCCCCCCGCAAAGCGGAAAACTGCCCCCAAAGCAGAAAACTGCTCAAAGCATTATAAAACAGTAACCAATATAAATATGTCTCATGCCAGAGGAATTAGTTCTTTGAACACAGGATATGTGACCCTTTCCTTTGTTCCCTCAGAAAGAGTGCTTTCTAGTTTGTCTTTAACCTATAGTAAATATACACTAGATGCCTGTTTAGTTTACCTTTAACCAATGAAAGAACACAGGGCATCCACTTGTAAAACTTGTCACTAGAAAGTCAAGAATAAATACATAGGTCAGAGTCTGCTCTGGACTCTCATTTCGAAAGACTGCGAGACCCCTGGTGCTCTGCTCTGAATCCACCTTTTGCTCTCTATCTCTGTGTCTGTTTCTTAATTCCTTCAGCGCGGCCTGGGTTGGGGTATCCATGGCTGAACTGGTCTCAGCACAGCGTTATTCATAGGAGCTGAAAGATAGCAACAACCCAAGTGCCCGCTGACAGATAAACTAACAAATGTGGTCTCTCCATATAGTCAAACATTATTCAGCTTTAAAAAGAAAGGAAATTCTGACACATGCTAGCACATGGATGAACCTTGAGGACATTATGCAAAGTGAAATATGCCAGTCACAAAAAGAAATACTGTATGATTCCACTTATGTGAAGGACCTAGAGTAATCAGATTCACAGAGACAGAAAGTAGACTGGTGGCAGCCAGGAGCTGGGAGAGCCAGTAGTGGCTTATTCAATGGGCACAGAGTTTCAGTTTGGCAGGATTTAGTGAGTTCCAGAGTTTGGCTGCACAAAAATATGAATGTACTTACACTGATGTGTGTAATTTAAAATGGTTATGGTAAATTTTTTGTGTTTTACCACATTTAAAATTTTTTACATTGGAAATGTATATTTATTGAGCACCTCCGTGCTGGGCATGATGATATGATTATGAACACCATAGTTATAAAAAACACTCTTAGGGAGGTATAATTCTAAGTGTAAAAACTAGCATAGACAGACAATAATAGACACAGACCCACAGGGCTCAGATAGTAGGCTTATGAGACAGAGATTATAGATTTCAGCAGGGAACTAGAAATTATTAAAATTACTAATCACTAAATTTGTAGTTTAGTAATTAATTTAGCCAATCAGCTAATTTACTAATTACTGAAAATTACATACTGAAAAAAAAAAATGGAATGTAGTGAAAAGAGATGGCAGAAAAGGCCACCTAAAGCCCATCTTTTAGACAGTTCTCTTAGCAGATGAGGGATAGAAGAGCACTTCCTAGCTAGGTGTGGTGGCTCATGCCTGTAGTCCCAGCTACTCAGGAGGCTGAGGCAGGGGAATCACTTGAACCCAGTAGGCAGAGGTTGCAGTGAGCCAATATTGTGCCACTGCACTCCAGCCTGGGCAACAGAGCAAGACGCCATCTCAAAAAAATAAATAGCAGGGTGCAGTGGCTCATACCTGTAATCCCAGCACTTTGGGAAGCCGAGGCAGGTGAATCACTTGAGGTCAAGAGTTGGAGACTAGCCTGGCCATACCCTGTCTCTATTAAAAATACAAAAATTAGCTGGATGTGGTGGCAGGCATCTGTAATCTCAGCTGCTCAGGAGGCTGAGGCAGAATTGCTTGATCCCAGGAGGGAGAGGTTGCAGTGAGCCATTGCACTCCAGCCTGGGTGACAGAGTGAGACTCTATCTCAAAAAAATTAAATTAAGCCCATCTTTTAAACAGTTCTCCTAGCAGATGAGGGATAGAAGAGCGCTTCCTTACCCTGGTAGCTCTGAGTGTCCAGCCTGTGCCCTTGACCACCACACTTGATGGGGAAACAGAGCAGCCTCCACTGCAAGCTGCACTGAAGATCCCACACACACAGTGAGAGTTCCCTTTAGCCTGCACTTTGGGTTGGATGCATCCCAAGCTCCCAATACATCATGTGCTAAGGTTCCACCCTCCTCTAGGCTGGGAAGTATGTCTTAGTCTTCTGTCTCCAGGGTGCTGGTGGCAGAGCCTGACATGAAGTGAGTGCTCCATAGATGCTTGTTCAATTTCCTAGGAACTCAGCAGTCTGGGCCTAACACCACTGCTGGCAAAGGCCTGGCAGGTTTAGGGACTCATCAACCTGTGCCTGCTGCTCTTACAGAAAGGGGAGAGGGAGATGGGTGGGAGTGGAAGGAGAGTTGTCCTTTTAATAAAGAGGGCCAGGGGCTGTAATAGGGGCTCCAGCATAATTTATCTCAGGAAATAGCAGGGGCCCCTCTCCTTTGGGGCCCATAGCCTGGCCTTACTTTTCTTCTCTCTTCTTTACAGTTTGAGATTTCATCTAAGCCAGCACTAGGCTGCCAAAGACTTCAAACTCCATCACCTTCTACTCTCATTCCAGCTCCTTGACAAGGGCAAGATTCTTGGCTGGGACAGAATAACCAGCATGGAATGCCGGGAAACTCAGAACGGCATGTGCTTCAAATGCAGGGAAGAAGAGCTGTTTGCCATTGCACTCAAAATACTTCTGAGGACACGAAACTCTCCCACTGGTCTGGGTAATTCTCCCACTTCCTCCACATCTCCACTGTAAACTAAGAGACAGCATGGCCAGCGAGTCCCAGCCCTTCAGAGATTGCTCTACCTGGCTCCTGTTCATGCCCAAGGCATTTATTCACTCATTCAACAGCCACGTGGGAAGCCACCACTTCAGAACACTGACTGTGCAGAGGGGGACACAAAGCCATGTTCTCAGCTGCCTGGTCCTGGCTTTCCCTGCCTGATCCAGGGGTCTCTCAAGGCAGGAAGTTCTTTGAGGGGACTGATAGCTCTTCAGAAGCCCAGGTAGAGAGCTGTTCTCTTTGGGGTAGTCACACTGGGACCTAATGCTTTGGAGGACCTCTGTTTTGGTAGGGGCACCTGTGAACTTGGGCCCCCAGGCTACAGCATTCAAACTTTGTTTTACTTCCTTTTGGAACATAACATTTTCCTTTGAGTTTTCAACTGAAAAATAAAGCTAGCAGAATGCAAGAATGTGTCTCTGGATTGCTGGGGCTGATCATCTACTCAGGAGATGGGGAGACGTGGGCAGCTACAGAATCTTCTCAGCAATAGGGGGTGCCCTCGAGCCCTCTTTGGGCTGAGCCTTTGGTAGGAGATTGTAGGGTCCAGATTCCAGAGCAAAGGGCCAGGTGTCAGCCACAGGGACTGAGGCAAGGTGAGGGCCAGATGCCAGACTTGGCTGTCCCTGACCTCCCCACCCATGAACCCCTCATGCACAGCAGGTGCTAGATGAAGTTCAGAAGGAAGAACTCCAGGGTAAATGGGAATGAGAAGGTTGGTCCTCCACATTTCCACGCTGGAGGGAAGAGAAGGCAGGGTGGCTGGGATCTGAGTGTTTGCTATGGTTACAGCCTAAAGACCCCCGAGCCCAGGCACTGCTCCAAGTACCTTGAAAGATGTTTGATCTTAAACCTTACAATAGTCCAATGAGCAATGGATGGTCTCCTCAATGAGGGAAGAAACAAAGGCTCAGAGAGTTGAGGGGATTCCCCCAAGGTCATATAACCTACAAATGCCCAGGATGGTGCTGATGTGGACCTGTCTATCTCCCAATGCTGCCCAAGCTCAATCACCCCCCACCACTTCTGCTTTTGCAATAATAGCCTTATGCCACATATTCTACCAGTTACTTTATGAAAGAAAATCAAGTAAACTGTAGCCATATCCCAAGCCATAATAGGTAGCTCCTGTTCCAAACACCCTGTAAATCAAGTCATGCAAGATCAGAAATGCACCCACAGCTGTTACAGGTGCTGTGCTAGCCACTGTTTTGGGGAACTCGGCCTAGGAATATGAGTGAAGAGGCAACTCACAAAGAAATGCAAACCACTGGCACGCAGGGGGCCCTGAGCAATTCAGAGTCAGAGGCAACTAGAGTGTGCAGCCACCTGACCTGCTGATTTCCCAATATGCTTAATGGATCCATGATGTCGGGTCCACAAAGGAAATGCAGAAGCCTTCCCTTCCTGCCTCCCACACTCTGTGGGTCAAGTATTTCCAAAAACACAGCAGTGGAATGGACACCAGCAGAGATACAAAGAGGGAAAAACAGTTCTCCCTTCTCAAGGCAGGTTGGACAACATCAGTATTTTGTAGTTAGGGGGTGCAGGTGGAGTGTGTGTGCATGCCCAGAATTTAAACACAAACAGATGGGAGAGGGAATGATTCCAGCAGAAAGACCAATAAATATTCACATCTACAATGTACACTGAACTGCAGCCTAGACAACATAGCAAGGCTCTGTCTCTATGAAAAATTTAAAAATTAGCCAGGCGTGGTGGCACGTGCCTGTAGTGTCAGCTACCCAGGAGGCTGAGGCAGGAGGATCACTTGAGCCCAGGAGTTTAAAATTACAATACACTGTGATCACATCACTGCACTCCAGCCTGGGCATCAGAGCAAGGCCCTATCTCTAAAACAAAATAAGACATTTACATAAAAATCAATGTATGAAAATCCAAAATAAAATATTAACAAATAAACCCCAATGGGGCTTAAAAAAACTTACCTAAACCAAATAAGACTTGTACAGTGTGAAAAGGATGGCTCAAAATTAGGACATCTTTTCATTTCACTTATATTAATATGTTAAAAATCATAATTGTAGATGTTGAAAAGGCATTTGACAAAATTTACTACAAAATTTGTAAAATAAACATCAAATTAGAAAGAGGGATACTTCCTTAAATTACACACAATAAAGGAGATTACACCCAGACACACACCCATCAAGCCAAAGCCCAGCATCATTTGTAAGGGATGGAAGCAATAGAAGCTTCCATCAACCTTTGGAACAAAAGAATGCCCTCTGTTACCACTATTATTTTGGAAGCCCTAGCTGATGAAACTAGGCAAGGAGGAAAGTAAGACATTAAAGAAAAATGCAGAAGGTGAAATAGTTATATTTACTCTGAAAAATGGGGCAGACAGATTTTGCTAAGGAGTTAGGTACAAAAGTAACATATTAAACAGCCTTCCTTTTTCTTAATTTTTAAACTATAGAGATGGGGCCAGGCACAGCTCATGCCTGTAATCCCAGCACTTTGGGAGACCAAGGCAGGCAGATTGCTTGAGGCCAGGAGTTTGATACCAGCCTGGCCAATATGGCAAAACGCTGACTCAACTAATAATACAAATATTAGCTGGGTGAGGTGAAACACACCTGTCATACCAGGTACTAGGGAGGCTGAGGCACAAGAATTGCTTGAACCTGGGAGGTGGAGGTTGCAGTAAGCTGGAACTGCACTACTGCACTCCAGCCTGGGTGACAGAGCAAGACTCTGTCTCTTTT